TGTCATATATTTTGTATTTTATATATTTTTTGTAAAGAGATTGGGGTTTAAGGAGTATAAGAAACTTATTGCTATGGTAGCTGGAGTCTGGTTTTCAGGATGTCATGTAAGCTAAAGAGTAATTAGTATTATCACAGAATTAAGGAAATGTTTTATGAAGTTAATTTGGTGGGAAGCATACACCTAGCTTTCTACTTAAGTATGCATTATTTAATAAAAAGGGAGTATTTGTTTTGTTAACAGTAACAACTTCCAGGACTTTTTGGTATTTTCTAGTGTTTTTCTTTTCAAACCATTAAAATACTAATAAGTTACATCCAGTGAAACATACATGCTTTTAGAGTTAGATGAACAGTGAGATAGCTTTAAGTTTAAACTGCAGAAATGTATTTTTCTTTTTTATTTCCCCAGAAGTCCCCATAGTTCTCCTTCTCATACACCAACGAGGCATGGACGGAGTACAGCATGTGGGGGGAGAGGAAGAAACCCAGACTTCCTAATGGAAATACAGTTAAGCAAGGTGAATGTCAGAAACATCTTCAGCCATGGCTGTCTGTGTGTGAATATCTTTACATGTCATAGCCCTTGGATAACAGCTTTCCATTAGAATTTGGTAGGATTCCTTCCATTAGTATCTACATCTAAGCAATCATTTTGAAGGTGATGAATTTAGTATTTGTTTAACAAAAAAATTATTTATTTTTCTAATACAGTATTGTTTACTTGCTGAATAAACATGTTTCTAAAGGTGAAGGATATTTATTACAATATTCTTAAAGTTTTTGTTTATTATAACCCCATTTTAGAAATGCTGTTCTGTTTTTCTGGTTTCAGTTCTACTCTGAATAGATACAGCTATTATGAAATTAAATATTCTCGCAAAATAACCAGGATGTAGATCTGTGTATCAGTTGATGATAACTGAATATTAAGTAACATCCAGTTATATCACAATATCGTTCCTGTATTTCCCCTAACATATTTAGCACCCTTCAGGCATAAGTATGTTGCTGTTGTTTTTAAGCCTGTGTTTAGCTCTATCATAGAAACTAGATGCTTGATTCTGGCACTGTGAAGAATATTAGCAAGGAGTTAACCAAATTTCATGTTAAATGGGTCAATCACAAAACCTTTTTAAAATAAGGTTTGTCAAACATTTCCAAAAACATGAAAGGTACTACATAAAATTAAATTCCTTTTATAGTCTATGTCCATTACTAGAGCTTAAAATTCATTCCATTAGCACTTCAAACTTGCCAGAAATGATTGATACTTATTTTAGTCTTTTCTAGAAAAACCATGACATTGCAATTAAAAATAGGAAAAAAGGAGGCATTTAATATTCCATGTGGAAAAACTTTATATCTAGAAGTATAGCAATCTCTCTTAATTGGCATTTAATGAATTGGTGTTAGTACTGAGGCATAAAGTCCTTTTTTTCCCCTACTTGTACCCCTAACTTGGTACAAGGCTTAATAATAATAGCAACAATGCTTAAACAATAAAGGAAGGGGAAAGAGTGTCAAAACCGTAACGTTTCTGAGCAGTGTTTATGATAAACATCTGTTTTTCTCTTCAATGCTTAAAATGTTCATTATCGCACGCATCTTGAGTAGGGCACTTAAATACAGGGTTCCTTCACATCTCGCTATCTGGCCAGTAGAGGCCACTGTTCCGCTTGCTCAGCGTGCTCAGCTTCATTGCGGGCAAGGATGCTGTGGGGGCTATTGAGGCAGGGAAGGATTTGTAAGTAACCACAAGTTCTTCGATTGAAAATCGGAACCACATCAAGAGATGAGGAAAAGGAGAGAATACAGAATTCTTTAGACTTTAAGAAAAGTAATAGATTAGAATTTATGTGGACTACAGTGAGTAAGGAAAAAGTAAACTGAGACTGGAACATGCTGCTTAAGAAGTCTGATGGTAGGGAAGAAGCCTTACTTTCCTAAGCACAGAAGGTGCAGGATTTAAGAATTGCAGGATTGCCCAATACAGGGTTCCAGATGATGTCAGAAAGATGTCAGGATTGAGAGGAAAAAGCAGAGTCAATATTAAAATGAAAAGCAAAACTTGTTCTTTGTCTTATGCTGACTCTTTGCTTTGGATCAAATTTACATCCTAAAATACGAACTATGTACACAACTAGTGCTTGGATGATTTGTACTGCTAGATGTGTGAAAATCTGAACAGTTTTCAGAAATCCCAATATTATTCTTGTAAATTTAAAATAGTAGACAACTTTTAAAGTTATGTGTGGGGTGTGTGGGTTTTTTTTTTTAAGTGCTATTCTATTGTTAAAGGTTGGTTTTTTTACTGAAGCTGATTATGCTGTGTTTCTTTCCTTTTTAAAAGGTGAAATTCCAGCATGAGGTATACCCTCCAGGTGGTGCAGAAGGTGAATCCAGTCTCTTGGAGCAGCCAGTGTCACGGCAGGTTTTTATTGTTCAAGACCTGGAGATTAGAGATCGCTTAGCTACGTCACAGATGAATAAATTTCTCTATCTCTACTGCAGTAAGGAGATGCCCAGAAAAGCGCATTCAAATATGGTACAGTTATAGAATATGTTAATTCATTATAATTATAGCGGTTGGACTATCTTTGTGGGGATTGTAGATATTTTTTCATCTTGCAGAAGAAGCATGAGGTCATGGAACATTGAAGTAATATAACTTGTTTATAGTTATTTGCTTGACTCCTTGTGGGTATTAAAACTAATTAAAAGGTCTGTTTGCATGTTAGTATGTCAGGAAATAATGTTTTTGAGATTCCATCAGTTTAAAAAAAGTAGATGTGCAGGACTACTTTGGTAGCTTTCAGATTTTGGTTTTGAAGAAAACATCTGCTTCTATGAGTATGATTAGACTTTTGACTACACTTAGGGAGTTGTAGTTTTATGACATACTGGTTCTATAAAGGATTTATGAAATTTTTTTTTTGTTTTCTTATTTTGATTTTCTTTTTAATAACATCTGTAGTAAGTTATTTTTTTCAATACTAGCTTGATAATTGGTAAATTGAATCAGATTAGTAAGAGGTTTTGCAGTAAAGGTTTTTCCTAGCTAGTGTTCTAAGATTTAATAATTGTGAATGTTACTACTTTTATTTATCTTGTTGCTTTTTTTTTCAGTTAACAGTTAAAGCACTACATGTCCGTCCAGAGTCTGGCAGATCACCCCAGGAATGTTGTTTACGTGTTTCACTGATGCCACTTCGCCTCAATATTGACCAGGTTGGTTTTGACACTTGGGGTGGGGGGACATGGGGGTGGGAATATTTAGTGATACCGGTCTTTTGTTTACCAGATACTTGTAACCATCATAGACATTTTATGGGACTGTTTTTTTGTTTGATACCTTTTTTATTTATTGATCAATCACACAACTTTGGATCTCTTGTCACTCTGTTTATATCCATGTTAGAACTTGCCTTCTGCTGTTTACTCAGTAATACCAGTTTACCTCCTGAGACTTCTGATGATCTCAAATGTTTTGAAATCATAGCTTTTAAAAAGCATATTCCTATTCTTGAACGATCTTGCTTTGTTTGTTCATGAAGTCTCTTTGGTGTTTTTAATTGAAAAAGGTTAATCATTAATCCAAAAGCTGTTCGCAACGTTTTAGTCAAGGACACTTGACGCTTGAGGACTGCTTTTATACTCTGAAGGCTTTGGTCTTGTTATCAACTGCAGTGGCATGAGGAACAGAAATGGGAGAAATTGTTTTACTTTCTCTAGCAAGCCTATGTGCAAAATATTTTTCATATACTCAGGAAACAATTGGCGTTTTTTTCTACACCAGTAAGGAAGCTAAATAAGTGTGTGCATTCAAATTTTAAGTGCAGTTATTACTCTCTGAGGCATTTCTTGCTTAATTTGTCATCTGCAGAGAGATGTGGGTTTTTTTTCCAAGAGCACAATTAGGATTTCTATACCTACCTTCTGTTTCCCTCAGCACACATTATAGAGACCAGGTTTTCATTTTACTGTTAGAAGAATTGAACTCTGTATAGTTGGTAATAATTTCATATAGAAAAATAGCATGGAAATACTGCCACCTAGTGAGAAAATATGTTCCCTCTTCATTACTTTTCTGAGTCTTCTATATTTTGTGCCATAAACAAAATTAACCTTTAAAACTTCTGAAAAATTAACCACAGCATTCTTGGAAGCAAAGGGCTGCATGCAGTCATGTTGGAAATTCTTGTTATTACTACTTAAGCTGTCCACTTATCTGTTGGAAACAAAAAAGGAAAAGAAAGTCCAGATGTTGCTAATCATAGGATAAACAAAGTACCAGGGTGATGCATCTGTCAAAAGAAGAAAATGGGATGTAATAACTTTGCTGTTAATGTCTTGTTAATATCTTAAGAGATATTAATGACTTCTAATGAAGCAGTGGCAAGATCTGATCTGGAATAATTTGTCTGACACTGCAGTATTAGAGATGAATATAAACTATACTTGAATACCCTTTTATTGGAAATTAAAGAAAAGTTTATATCCATTAAAACACATGGGTTCTGGTACAGTCTCCAAAATGAGAACAGAGATGATGAAAACAATCCTCGAGTTTTAAGACAGAGCTAGGTAGATTATAAAATCACATTATTTGTAGCAGGGGCAGTGACCAAGAGGGTCTTTTTGGTTTCTGTCCTAGATTTCTATGTGGCTTCTGCATGTGTTAAAGGATCAAAAAGAAGTAATGTTTTTTGATTCCTATCCATATAGAAATAAAGAGCTGGAATAGTAAATAATATTTTTAGAGAATTGGGTATTTTTCTTTTTTTTTTTTAACCTGATTGTATTTTATTTTTGACATTAGGATGCCTTGTTTTTCCTGAAGGATTTTTTCACTAGCCTGTCTACAGAAGTAGAACTCCTAATTACTCCAGATCCTGAAGGTATATTTTTCAAAAATCTAATACAAAATTGCTGCTTCTTTCTCCTTTAATGTGTGTACATGTCTAAATTCACGTGTGACTCGTGTGTGTGTGTAAAAGAACTTATGTTAGTGACCAAACCCCAAGATTAGTAACTAATTTGTTAGAACACAGAAATTTAGAGTATTGTAGTTTTGTATTTTATAAATACCAACAAAGGTCGTCTTCAATACCTGGGATCTCCATTGCATAAAAGGTTTCATTAACATTGGAGCATATTTAATAAGAACTTCTGAAAAAATTGAGAACTGTGTATATAATATTAGGAGTTGTTATTATTAGATAAAATAAATACATTATTTAGTACCTCTTGCATCAAAGAGTATGTCTAAAAGCCTGAAATTGTGTAACCCCTAGAGAAAGGAACAGAGTTCAAGATTATAAATAAACAGTACAATGTAAGTATACATTGTAAAACAAAGTACTGTAAAGCAGTACTTCTAATCAACTACACCATCTGATGCAAAAAACAGTATATATTGAAAAGCATATTTCCTTTGTTAATTATAGCTGTGAGTTTGTTAGCAGCTATACTTCACCTATTTCTGTTGAGATGTCATACTGAAATGCATAGGTAATGAAGTACTCTGCAATACTGCCATTAGAACTAGATGGATTATTTATGCTGATGCATAAACCTCAACTTAAGCTTCTTGTAATAATTTCTATTGATAACTAAGATACTATCTTACTAAAAGCATCTAAATGTTGTCCTGCTAGTAATTCCTATTAATAAGCATTAGAGCTTACTAAGGACACAGTAATTGTATAAACATGATCATTTTGTAATCATTGTGAAAAATGAGAGTCAGTTTACTGTATATAACTTCTTATCTTAGTTAAAAAGTCTCCAGGTGCTGAAGTTACGTGTAGTTTGCCCAGGCATGTCAGCAGCCTTAAGGACCCAAGTCCAGTCATTTCTTTCTCATCACACAAGCAAGCAAATGAAAATGGTAGCATTGATTCTGTGGATGTGGTTAATGGAGATGATCATAATTTCTCACAAGAAGTGACATCATACAGTGATCAGCCAGTATTTTTCAGGTAAACTTTTATTACCAAAATTTCCAGTGAAACATAGCTGTTCTGCTGAATGTTTGAAAGTGTGGTGATAAACTATTCAGACCTTAGGACAAGGTGCATTTTTATTTTGTCTTTTTACTGACTGACTGTGGAAATCAAATATATTTTTTCTGTCACTGGAAGGTAACTATGATTTTCTTATTAACTTTTGCACACTACTGTGCACAAGAAGATAAATTAAAGCTCTGCCATGTACAGAACGAGTAATGAGATGTTTTACAAATACATAAAAAGAGCAGTCTTTGTATTCTTATGTCTAACAAAGTAAATTAGATCTAATGTAACCACAGCTGAGAGTATATAAATGAAAAGGATATCATGGGAGAGGTACGAGATTAAAACATCACAAGAGAAACCCTAATGTAGTCTTGACTGGAAGGTGATTATAAAAATTGCAGCTGATTATGCAGAAGTTTTTTCTTATGTTTTCAGATCATAGGTACCCCTAACAACAGATGTGTGCTTTGGTAAGCAGTGCAGAGCCCAAATTATGAGAGAATGACTGTGGTTATATTTCGTGATATACATCACCAAAAGAATTTTTTAATAAGTTCCAGCTGCAGGGCTAAATTTTGCCCACAGAACCGTCATTAGCAATACTTTTTTTTTGGTAACTGAAATTCATGCTGTGAAAATTGAGGGAAGATGTTCACCTGCAGGATTAGTAACACTTTTGCAGGACTGTTAAGTTTATCATAAATGCTGACATTAACTAGATGTTAATAAACCAAGAAAAGCTGAACATGCCACTGTATTTTGTACACTTATTCTGAAGTACTAACACGGTAACTAGAAGATTTATGGCTTACAGAAAAAGGGTATGGCATCCTCCTCCAGGAGGATGAGAAACCATGGGTTTCTTTTTGGAAGGATAATTTTATTTCTTTTTCATGTTTCTCACTGTAAAATTTCCTTTGTATATCCCAGAGAATTTCGTTTTACATCAGAAGTTCCAATACGACTTGATTACCACGGCAAACATGTGTCAATGGATCAGGTTTGTGTACAATGCTGATGCTGTATAACAAAAAATTGATGATGTTCGTTTTGTGGTTTTCCCCCATGAGTTGCAGTATATTTTAATGCTCCGTACTCATAATTGATGTGACCTTTAGACATGTAGAAATTTTTTTTTTCTTCACTTATTTTCAATAAAGCTTAACCTTGTTTCACTCTTAATTTGAAAACTAGGGGATGGATCTTCCAGCTATGGTTAACTCAGAATGAGACTTGAGAGTCACATTTATCAACTTAGTGACTAGCTGGAAATCTTTCTGCACAGCTGTGGTGCCCCTCAAAGGATGGCACCACTATCTGATGCCAGAATTGTGCATTTTATTTTCTTCTTCATTAATGCCAGAATAAAGTATTGTCTTTCCCCCCGCCCCGCCCTTGCTTCCTTCCCTTGCAGTCTAGTAATATATGGGCTTCAGTGGCAATGGCAGAATCTAATGCAGATTAAAAAAAGCTTATAGTTCTTTTTAAAATGTGTATTGGTTATCATACTGAGTTTACAGAGCAGACATCAAAAAATCCTGTTTGTACAACCAGACTTGTACTCGTCATGGCAAATCAGTAAGAAAATACAGACAAATGAAAGCAACAACTTCTTGAATTTGCACTGCTGCCAAAGAAAAAAACATGAAATAGCAGCTTTAGGATCCCTGGAACACACTAATGCCAGAGTCATATTTGCATAATTTGTAATATCTAATACTTCTGAAGAAACCCTCTTGTATCCAGATATTGTTCATAGAGTAGCTGATTAAGCCAGATTCTGTCTTTTACAAGTTTTCATGTAACATAATTTGTAGCACTGTAACGAGTAGCATTTCGGAGGCTGGGGATAATCAGTTTAGACAGAAATACCTGCAATAACAGTTGAGATGATGAAGTTATTTCTCACCTACAGATTGTACTGGATGAGCAAACTCATGTTGATAACACAGTATTTCACTTACAGGGGACACTGGCTGGGATTCTTATCGGGCTTGCTCAGTTAAACTGCTCAGAATTAAAGCTGAAGAGACTTTGTTACAGACATGGGTAAGTTTATTGAATTGTAGATTAACATTGGTATTGGAAATTGAACAAGCTTATTGTGAATAACTGAATGTAGCAAGCAAAAAGCAAATTCTCTAATAAGATGCACTTCTAAAATCCAAGACACTTTGACTTTACAAATATTTCTTGATCCTAGTTTCTGTCAAATACATGGCATTCAAGAAGAACATCTATTTTCAGGACAGTATTTAATATATGTGTTAGTCTTGGTGCTAAAGTCTTTTTAATTTTAGTTGTACATTTACTTTCTATTGAACTGGATGTGATTATGCAGTCTTGAACTTCTGTTCTATGAAGCACATACACATGAAATGCTTCAGTTAGCCAACAGCAACAAAACAACTTGAAAACAGTTTTCCTGTTGTTTAAACGACATCTTTGTTTATTTGTATTTGTCTTATTGTGAATTACATGTTTTAAAAAAATACTAATAATTGTATTTACTTCAGTTTGTTAGGTGTGGATAAATTGTTCTCCTATGCCATCAGTGAATGGCTTAATGATATAAAGAAAAACCAGCTACCAGGAATTTTGGGAGGAGTAGGGCCTATGCATTCGCTAGTGCAGTTAGGTAAGTTAATTCTTATTTATACTCAGACACACATGGCAGTTGTTTTAAAAAAACAACCAAACAAAACACAGCCAGAAAAAAAAAAAAGACACAAGCAATGTTGAGACTTGTTTTCACTTGCTCTCAAGGCATTCTGCTTTTCTAAGAGGACTTTCTAACTATGGTTTTCTGTTTTCATTTTCAGTCCAAGGTCTGAAAGATTTAGTGTGGTTACCAATAGAGCAGTACCGAAAGGATGGCCGTATTGTAAGAGGTTTTCAAAGAGGAGCAGCTTCTTTTGGTACTTCCACTGCGATGGCAGCACTGGAGCTAACAAACAGAATGGTTCAGACTATACAGGTATAGTGTATTACTTCTGGAGTTAGACATAAAATGGGAAGTGTTGCCAGTAAGTCCTCTATATTGAGGTAAAAATCTTAATGCTATATATTTAAGGCTGGGAGCATGCCCTA